CCGCCCCCGCCCCCGACTCCCGTTCTGCGGAATACCCCCCGCCTCCGCCCCTCCACGACGCCAGCAGCGTCTACCATGGCCCGCCCGCCGCCTCGTCGAGCAAGCTCATGCTCGGCTTTCGCGGAAAGCGCTCGAACCCGCTGCCTACTGCCCTCACCGACGACAACGGCTTTCTGCGTCCCCCCGTCCCCGTCGCGGACGTCGGCCAGCCTCGCTACTCAACCTCCAAGTCCGAGTCAGGCCACGATTACCTCGGCCCCCCGCCCTCGCGCTCAGAAATCTTTGCTGCCTACGATGAGCTCTCTGCTGCCCGCTCGACCCGCTCGCTGCCCACCCCTACTCCCACCGAGCTCTCCCTTTCCCACTCCCGCAACTACTCCCGCGATGCTATCAGCGTCGACACCGCTCCTCCTCCCCTCCTCGATCCCCCCAAAAAATCCAAAGGCATGTTTTCCTGGGCCCACCGCGAACGCAAAAGATCAAAGCCTTCTGCCCAAGCCCCGTCTGCCAACCCCGACGACTCGTTTAACCTAAAGTCTTTCCGCCATGTCCGCCCTGCCTCTCCTCCCCCCGCTCAGATTTCGCCTCGTTCACCTTCAGCTCTCTCGCCTCCTGCCCTCGCTCTCCCCCAGCGTCCCCGTGGAGACAGCGTCGCCTCTGTCGACTCCTCTCAGCGAATATCCGTCGCGGCCTTCCGAGAGATGGCCGCGCGCAGGAGTGCTGCAAACTCGCCTTCGCCCTCGGCCACGGACCTCTCGCGCCTCGACGCTTCAGCTCCTTTCATTCGCCCCCCATCCGCCCTGTCTTCTCCGGTCGCGTCGTCGCCTCAGCTCGCCGCCCGTCGCCCTGCGTCGCGCCCTCCTGTCTCCCCCTCATCGCCCACATCTGACTCCACATCGTCTGAATCGGATGCCGACGATGCCGACGACGACGACTCTGCTGGCTCTTCCACCCTGCGTCCCATGCGTGGTGTTGTCAATGCCCCTCGTTCCCCGGGAAAGAGTTCCTCCGAGCTCGGGCATCGCACCCGGCCTACTCCTCCGCGCATCGCGATGTCTGCCTCGGCCCAGAGTTCCGCCAGCGGTCGCGAGAGTCTCTACAGTCGCGCAAGGGCGTCCCAGTCGACGTCTGCTCTGATGCCTAACGCCGCCGCAAAGCGTGCGTCCTTGCTTGCTGCCTCCAATACGCCTTCGCCAGGTTTGTCCTAGTTTTTCTCTGCTCGCTACTACCCGCTATGATCCTCACACTATTTATTTTACTTTTTCTCCGCTGCAGTTTCCACCACTGATCTTCGTCGGAAGCTCCCCGCGAAAGACAGCTCATCCGACAGTGACTCGAGCGATGACTCGGACACCGATTCGGATAATGCACCCCTCGCAAAGTTGGTCCTCCCCAAGCGACCAGGCAGCTCAGCGTCCAACGTCACTGCCGGCTCTCGCACGAGGCTGCCGCCTAAACCACTAATTGATATATCTGGTCTCAGTCCGCCTGTTTTACATACTTCTCCAGAGTCGGAGAAGACGTCGAATCCGCTGGATGTGAAGGAAGTCGGTGAGAAGAACAAGGAACAGGACAAGGAGAATATTAGGGAGCCCAGTGTGGAGCTAGGGAGGAGGATGCCTGCGAAGGAACCCAGCAAGGAGAAGGTTGCAGTAATGTCTTCTGAGAAACCCACCCTCAACGATCGCCTAACTCGTCTCGCACAAAGTGTGGCAGCTGGACGCGCATCGATGTCCAGCGCGCAGGAAGGCGCCAGGACCACTGACGATATGGACAAGACGGAACGTGGGCGGTCGCCACTGCCACAACCGAAACGCAGTCAGACTGTGCCTGTAGACCAGTTTCTTCCATTATCTATCCCGACCAGTTCAACGTCCACGTCCACGTCTACTTCGGCCTCGGCTGCGGTTTCTCCTCCATCACCCTCCAAGTCGAAGACGAATGGCCGTTCGATGTCGACCCCCAACGCGTTCGAGGGCATAAAGGATCTCTCCGACCCCACCCCCATTGTGCCTACGCCGATCAGAGAGCGATCGAATCCGCCTGCATTCAGTGTAACATCGCGCCCGACGTCTCAACTCAGTCTGGGCTCGTTATCTCTGCAAATACAGCACTCGCCACAGCAAGCGTTCTACCAGCCACAAATAGCTGCGAGCGGATCTGGGGCAAGCTCATCGCTTACATCAGCAGCCGCTGCTCCTCCGTCTCCCAATGTAGATGCGTCCATACGCTCTGCGTCGCCAGCCGTAACAAGTGTGAGCTCACCCGCCGAGATGACCGAGTCAAGAGCTTCACCCGGCCCGCGCGCTCCCCTGATTCCCGACGGAGGGATGCACCCCCCAAAGGGCTTCACGGGCGGAGGATTGCTTGCAAGTCCCGCTGCCAACCCGCTGCCCTCGGGCACTTCTGCTGCTTTTCCTCCCTCTCCCGTGCCGTCGTCCGGCGGCAAGCCCTCTCCTTCTGTACGCGCGGCTCGGCATCGATCTGCAACGTTTGGGCAAAATTCCCCGACTCGCGAAGCCATGGCGCCCATGCCCGCTCGTCCCATCGCACTGCAAAGCAGGGGTGCGTCCGCAGACGGAAGCAGGCCGAGCGGCGACTCGGGCGAGGCTCCGGGCAGAGCGTCGACGTCGAGCGCGTCGACGCTGTCGGGGTCGGGGACTTCCGCATCGAGGAGCCAAGACGCGCGTAGCCCCGTCGTCGCTGCGAAGGGCGCGGCGCCTGCGCAGACGCGGTTTCGAGCGAGCACCCTCGGCATGCCTGGGGCTACGGGGAGCAGTGGAGCGGGAAGAGACTCGATCGGTATGCCGCCTGTCAAGCCGTTTGCATCGACGGGCCTTCGGGGGAACAGCCCTGCGAGCTCGACGGGCGAGTCGAGCAGCGGGCGCACGCCGATCACCCCGGGAGATGGCAGCGAGATCAGCTTTACGCCGAGGGACCGTAACCGGGGACGAGAGCGGGGAGGCGCCCAGGCTGGTCCTCCTCCAGTAAGTGGTGCAGCGGCAAGGAGGACGCACAGGAAGAGTGCGAGCGTGAGTTTCGAGGACCCGGAGAGGGGCCGAGGACTGGTGGACCACGAGAGGGAAGAGCGAGCCGCAGCTAGTGCGGAGGCGGAGGAGAGTCGGAGAAAGGAGCGGAGGCGCAGCGAGGCCAAGGCCGCTCTTGAGGTGCGTCCCTACATGTGTGCATACCTGCGTGCGCTGACGATGGGTGGTCTACAGCTCGGCAACATTGTGAATGGACGTGGCCCGATCGGGACGGATGACGACGACGACGAGGATCGCCCGCTGGACAACATGCCGCCTCGTATGAGCATGATGGCGTCGCTGTCGGGGATGCCAATGAGCACGTCGAACATGAACATGAACATGAACATGACCGGCCAGTCGCCCATGAGCTGGCAGATGCAACAGCCAGGGATGGTGTCCCCACAGCAGTATATGTTCCCGATGGTGCCTTCGAGTGCAGATTCTGCATATCTCGCAGCACATCAGCAAGCTATGCTCGTCGCGAAGCAGGCGTACCAGATGGCTGTCGCACAGCAAGCAATGGCCGCGGCAGAAGAGGAATGGGAGCGGGGCTCCACTGCTGCAAGCGTCATGGGTGGCGGAAACAGGAGTGGGTTTGGTGGCAACTCCATGATGTTCCCTGGTGGAAACGGGTTCAACATGGGCATGAATGGCATGAATGGAATGGGCATAGGCATAGGCATGGGCATGCAGGGCGGCTGGGGCGGAATGCTGTTCCCCTCGAGTGCGCAGTCGATGTATGCGGGTAGCGTCATGGGCAGTGAGCTCGGCGTCGGTGCGCGGAACTCGATGGCGTGGGGCTCCCGCAGTGCATACGGCGACCCAAACAGCAACGATCACGCGTCGATGATGAGGACCTCGACGTTTGGGATGGCGCCTCCGCCGATGCCTCCTCGCTCTGAGCTGGGGGTGCAGCAGAGACCTGGGCCAAGACCACGGACGAAGACGGCGCCGACAAGCCAGCCTACAGACTCGCGTCGTGCGCCTCCGCCTCCGTCAAGCTGGAAACAGGCCGGACGGCCAGCGTAGCACCAAATCCGCCTTCATGATGCTTCTCCCTCTTTTCTGTTCAGTCTGCACTTCGTTGGCAGGCTTCTTGCAATTTTGGTTAGACAAGGACTGGGGGTTTGATTAGTTGACTGTCCGCTGCATACTCTCGCTCTCTACATGAATATCCATTCACACTCAGATATCACGCGTCGTGCAGGCCGCCTGGGGGCCGCACACTATTTACTCGCTCGTTATATTATCACCATACCCATAGCATCTCATGACATCGTCTTGCTCTGTTGATCCCCTTACACATCGCTTTGTCCGGGCACGTACGTACAGGATCAGCATTCACGAGGACCTAATCTAGATTTTTCTTGCCATTAGTGTGCAGTGGTGGACAAGCCTCGAGCATCTCTGGAATCTATACATTCCAGTAAGATCATACCAAGCTGCTCTCGGATTCACGGGTCTACGCACTCTCGTCTGCACGTCTATACAGACCGCCAACTAAAAATCATATGTCGCATACTTGGCTACTTTATGATTTTTCGTCACCGCGACGCAATGCTGCAGGTACATATACAATCCCGACGATGAGAATATCTTGCCATTAGACGATAACTGATGCGTACGCAGATAGGCTATATGCGCGGATGTCCAGTTTGTACAACATCGCCCTAATATTGAACTATAAGTGAAGTGTATGGTATACGTATGGCCCTCGACAATGACGGGTTTCACGCAGCAGCAGAAATTTCCTCAGGCGGGTCTGGGAGGCACGCTACATCTGCCTCTTGTTTCCTAAGAGATGCGCAATCAAGAGAACGCAAATTGAGAAGGATCAGCACTTGAGTACTCACAGGCCATCTGTCTCGCCCTCCAAACAGCTCGTGCGCCCTGGTTGATCTGCACCGCGAGTGTCGTTTTCGGGCGATGAGCTCTGTACCCTGGTGCCGTCGGGGGCGATTCCGCACGCTCTGCGCGACCTAAGAGTGAGCGGCGATCTGCGAGGTAGCCGAGAGAACGCACGCGACGATCTGGTCCCAATATGTATTTGGCTCGAACTCGAACTCATAATCGCCGCCAAAGTCGGCGTCCAGCTGCTCCTTCGGAATCAGCTCGAGCAGGTCCGGGTTAAAGCGCATCTGGCATGGAGCCTGGGCGTGAGTGCTCGCCACCGCATGCGAAGACACACAAGCGCACCTTGTCGCGGGTGATGGGATCGAGGAACGGCGAGATGCCTTTGTAGAAGAAGCTGAGGATCATCGGGAGGTTCACGACGAGCGCGCGGCCGAGGGTCTCGACGTAGTGTTGCTGGAGAATTGTCAGCACTTTGCGCGCGACCGATATGGATGGGTTCGTGCGGAGGGTCGTGCTTTTGTAGTCTACAATAATCACGAGCGAGTCCTGCCCAGGTGGCATGAGGTCTTTCGCGCGCTCGCTGTCAAGAAGGAGGTCGGTGAGCATGGGATGTACGCGGGGAGTCATTCCAACTCACAGCCACCAGACCAGGTGTCGTAGTTGGCGAGGGCCTGTCTCGGTGTTTTCGCGCCCAGGCCGCATGTAGATGATCGGCCGGCCTTGGTTGTCAAAGCCAGTGAGGATGCTGCGAAGGGACGGATGTTAGCTCTCTGCGGAGGGCGAATGGGGCAAGAAAAGCGGACATTTTACCAGTCTCGCTCTCGATTTTTACCTACTCCCATTGGTCGTTGCAGATGACACACCAGCGTAGGAAAATGAGACGAACCTCGTCTGGAGGAATGAGATCTGGTTTGAACTCTCTTCGCCATTCCATTGTGTTTTTGATCCGCTTCTTGCCATCCTCGAGATTCCACTTTGCGGCGCGCATATAGCGGGCAATGGTGTCCCACTTGTTCAGCCAGCGCAGCTCCCATTCGTGATATGAATCCGATTCTGGCAATAGGAGCGTGTCTGCGTACTGTGTACATCGTCTTGGGGTGTGACTCCTTTCCGAGGGTTGAGTTCAACTGCGAAAGCGTACCTCTCTGAGAGCCTTGAGCATTCCCTGCTGTTCTTCCGTATACGTTCGAACGGGGCCCACCTCAGTGTTAAGAGCGGGCGTCACGAGAACTTGACGCGTTTTCGACATGGTAGCCAGTCCCTTAGGCTGGTCGGTCCAGGAAAGAAGCACACACAAACAACAGAGGCAGCAGCGGACAGAGGAGACGCGTCCGCACTTGCAAACGGCCGCTCACCGTCTTATACGGGAGACATCCGGTTGTGATTCGCCTGATTCCGGGACATGCGGGAGAGATGGAATAAGTAAGTAATACCAATTATCATGCACACAAACGCCTTCACACGCCGCGTTCGCGTTTCGTCTCGGCCCAGCTGATCTGATCCAGCCATGAAATTGCCGGTTCGATCCATCTATGTTCCAAGACACAGATTTTGCGGTCTGACAAACGCGACGTCCGACTCAGGTATCTTGTTCGAGGACAAGGTGGAAAGCGCACGATGCAATGCGTGCTAGCGGTAGTCAGGTTGCACTGGACATATCTGCCGTTCCTACAATCAGTGCATATGACGGTAGGAAAAATGACACACCGCTTGTACGTGATGGCTGCACCGGGAAATGTCAACATTATTGACACTCTGGATCATGTTGCGGCCTCCAAGCAGCGGCGCCCAGTACTGGTGTGTATTGTGGGGACCCGCGCACTCTGAGTTTGTTCCCTGGAGCGCCGATTCAATTCTGCTTGGTAGGTGCGCGTCATGAACACGACGAACGCCAAGTCTCGTTTCCAAGCACGCCACAGCGGAGTGTGAGGCGGAGTTCTAAAAAGACTTGCTCTGCTTTGTCTTATTCCGTCTGGTGAGTTTTGCAGGGAGGAGGGTATCCGTCACGCGCGTCTCGTGACCTCGCACTACGGTGCGGCCCAGTGTCACGCAAAACCGCTACGACCAAGTCTTGCACTGTTTGAATAGGTTTCGAATGTGTCGTACAGCCTCTCGAGTATGGCCACTACTGCGTCGACGTCGATATCACCACATGTAATGTCTGGCAGCTTACCATCTGGCATCGACTACGGTTCTTGAGAATGCACGCCAGGAAGCTGTCAAGACACGCAGATATTCGTCTGAGGAAACGCGGCCGAAGCAAAACGTCGAGATGCTTGCCCAAGTGTTTAGTGGTTGTGAGCCTTATGACTGGCAAGTCAATGTGATGGAGGCTATTCTCCTCGGCATAGACTGTATAGTAATTGCAGGCACTGGGGCTGGGAAGACAATGCCGTTTACCATGCCTCTCCTTGACAATTCTGTATGAATTGTATAGGATACATACATGCGCATATAGTGATTGACGGCGCTGTAGCTGCACGTAACGACACCGTTACATTACGGTCTAGTTCCACGATGTCTTTAGTTACCGTCTACGGCCAATGTCTCGTGCTAGTGTTCGTCACGCGATCGACGCGTTTGTACGCGTTAGACGCGACTGGTCACAGAATCATCACTGGTGACATCTGATGGATACCCCCCTCCCTTCCTGCAAAGTTCACCAGACCTCATAGGAGGAAGTGAGCATGGATTTGTGGCTCTCGACCCACCAAATCCGGTAACTACACGTGATTCCTTCCTCCTATCGAGGTCTGGTTACGAGACTAGAGTCTAGACGAACGCATCCGATGAGGTTGATCTAGTGGCGACATGTCAATGTTGTAACCGTACTAAGCAGAAGCTAGTCTGTTTCTTCTCCATTACCCCATCAGTGCTGTAGTGCGCGGTCGTTTTCTCGCTCATAGCAACCGCATTTCACTTCACACTGCCCTTGCCGCCCCATGGAGCAAAGTGATATATGCCCAACTTCTGTAATGTACTGTCGCGACTCTTTTTTTCGCTCCAGTGCTTCAGGATGTCGCTGCCCACGTACTCCACACACGATCCAGGCGCATATCAAACCAAGCAAGTACACTCGCGATCACAATTGTGAGCAGAGAATACTGACCAAAGGAGTAGCTTGTATTGCTATGCCGTCGGGATAAGTGAGTGGATCGAATCGTGATCTTATGTGCGATTAAATTCTTGATGCTCCCCCAGCAATTACTGTCTATGATTATTCTCTGATTCTATCGCGAGAGATCACTCACATATGGCAGCGTCCGCTGTCGGTCACGACGATCCTATACCTGATTAACCGGTATTTGTCCGCTGCATATAACCTTCTCTTGATCAGTGTGCTCTGTGTGCGGTATATTCAGTCGCCTTCCGAAGCAAACAATGTACGTAGTTTCCCCCTGAAAGTCTCATACGTCTTGACCGTATCACTATTCACAGCTGTATGTGGTCGCTCAGCTGAGTATGATTGGTAACACTCATTTATCCCTGACAGCTGTGTCGATGTCACAATTGCACTCGGAATTCTCTTCACCATCCTTAATGTGAATATAACAAGTGAGCTGTTTACATCACTCGTGCGACCACCTAATCTCGAACCGATGCTAGTCTTTCTGTCTTTGCGAATATATGCAATTTGGAATAAAGACATGCGGATACTTGTATTCAGCTCCATCATGGGGATGGCGTTTGTCGTCCTCACTGCGGTACGTTTCTTCCCGTATGGTCAGCCTGTCATGTGAATACGCATATCCAAATCCGATGATCATTGGCCAGTATACGACTGCTACCCAGCATATAGCATTTGTGCCCGGGCGATCTGGAGGTTGCGTTGGATACACATACCTTAAAGTGGTTGTATATGATGCGTAAGACTGGAAAATTGCTCTTATATCATCGCGTTTTCTGATACGGCCTTTCCCAGTCGTTAGTGGATGATTCTGTCGGTATTTATATTCTTGGCGCTAATCGTGCATCCCCAAAGTCAGCATCACTATGGCTGTCTCGAATCTCATAGTGTCCTGCACTATCTTCGCCCTGATCCCGATCAAGATATATGTCAATTTTCGACAGGTGGTTCTCTCAGAACAGCATGAAGGTGCTAAGCTCTTAATACTCCTTCAGAAGGATGGTGGGCTATTCATCTACTGTATTATAAAGTGTATCTAACATGTTTATTACAGGTACCCTACATCTAATGTGAGTCATCTGGTACCTAACAAGTCAATTGGTCTCCATGAATTATTTTAATGTAGGACAATATTATTCATCGACATCACAAGACTGGCAGTCCTGAACAGTCAGGTATGCCTCTCATTTCTCTGCTGTTTGATTGCGCACTCAATATTGGCGCAGACGGTCGTAGGATCGATGACATATATAGTGGAAGCGTAAGGACTACGTAGTATTCGAAATAAGCTCTATTGATGCTTGCTTTACTAGATTTATCAGCATCCTGGTATCAAGATTCATCCTCGACGCTCGTACTGTCTATGCCCAGGATCAGGGCGAAACGACATTGGGCGATCAAACGACACTCCAGTTCGCCAATAGACAGGATGACATGTCCGATAGCGCTGAAGAGTACAATAGCCAATCCAGGATCTCCACAATCCGCATTGGGTTCGAACCGTCTCAATTTGGGCAAGAGACTCTCGTGTCTAGAGGTGAGCTCCTTTGACATCGACCTTGCACGCTCCGTTCACAGAGGACACAGTTCATATCAGAAATGCCATTCAGAGTATAAAAGACTCGCTGGCAGAGGATGAGGACCCCGGCATATTTGTGTAGAGGTCAGATCCATATCACTACCTTTGGGCTTAATGTCCGCGCGATTTTGGTATTGCCAATTTTTGTGTCCGGATCTGGATGGACTCAGACGACGGAAATTTCGTCAGCATGACCATCTATGCACTGTGGGCAATATCCAAAGGTCGAGTAGCAAACGTGGGTCCAGAACAGCTCGCGGGAGACAGTGAGTTATCATTGTGTTCGGAGCTTGAGCATTACGAGCGTTTGACCGCTAAACATTGGTGATCAGCAGCTGGTGATCGACTGAACATCCCTGTTCGACGGATGCTGCTACAATGTCCGACTACCTGACATGTTTGAGCTCCGAGCATGATCAGGAAATGCTGTCTCCAGCGACCAATATTTTCTGTATGTTCGACGCTCAACATTTGGACATTTCCCGCCAGTGCGCGTTCACGTTTCGTCTCGGCTCAGCTGATTTGATCTAGCCAAGAAATTCCCGATTCATATGTTCCAAAAATTGAATTTCGCGGTCTGATAAATGTGACGTCCGACTGGGGTATGTTCGACGATAGCGTGGAAAGCGCACGATGCAATATGCTGGCAGTGGCCAGGTGCACTCTGGACGTTGCTGATCAGTACACGTATCATCATGGAGCGGTAGGGAAAATGACTCACTGCTTGTACGCAATGGCTGCACCGGGAAAACGTCAACGTCATTGACACTCTGGACCTTGTTGCAGCTGGCAAGGAGTGGCGCCCATTTAGCAGTATCAGTGAAGCGTATTGCGAGAGGACCCGCGCTCCGGCCCACATGTTCCCTAGAGCGCCAATCCAATTCCGCTCTAATGGCGACATGTCGAAGTTGTAAACATACTAAGCAGAAGCTAACCTATTTCTTCTCTATTGCTCCATCATTGTTGCTGCTACTGCGCTATCGTTTTCTCGCTCATAGCAACCGCCTTTCACTCCACACTGCCCTCGCCGCCCCATGTAGCAAAGTGATATATGCCCAACTTCTGCGATGTACCGTTGCAACTCCTTTCGCTCCAGAGCTTCAGAATGTCACAACCCATGTATTCTGCCCACGATACGGACGCATATGAATCAACGCAAGTACACTTGTCATGACAATTTTGGGCAGCGAATACTGACCCAAGGAGTAGCTTGTATTGCTATGCTGTCGGGACAAGTAAGTGGGCTGAATCATTGTGTATTAAATGCGATATAACCCCTGATGCTCCCCCAGCAATTATTCTCTATGATTATTCTTTAACTCTATCGCAGGAGATTACTCACATATGGCAGCGTTCGCTCTCGGGCACGACCGTCCTATATCTGATTAACCGGTACTTGTCCGTTGTATATAACCTTCTCATGATCAGTGTGCTTTGTGTACGGTATATTCAGTCGCCTTCCGAAGCAAATAGCGTGCGCAGCTTTCCCCTCAAAGTCTCATGCATCTTGACCATATCACTATTCACAGCTGTGCGTGCTTGCTCAGCCGAGTGTGGTCGGTAACGCTCATTTCTGATATCCGACAGCTGTGTTGGTGTTGGGACTACTCTCGGAGTTCTCTTCGTCATCCTTGATTTGAATATAACAGGTGCGGGATCAAAAACTCTCTTGCAACCACGTAATTTCTAACCGATGCTAGTCTTTCTGTCTTTGCGAATATATGCAATTTGGGATAAAGATGTTCGAATACTCGTATTGAGCTTAATCATGGGTACAGTATTTGTCGTCCTCAGTGCGGTACGTTTCTTCCCGTATGACCAGCCTGTCATGCATACGCATATCCAAATCCGATGATCATTGGCTAGTATACGACTGCTGCCCAGCATATAGCATTTGTGCCCGGGCGATCTGGAGGTTGCGTTGGATACACATACCTTAAAGTGGTTGTATATGATGCGTAAGACTCGGAACTTGCTCTCATGTCATCGCGTTTTCTGATACGGCCTTTCCCAGTCGTTAGTGGATGATTCTGTCGATATTTGGATCCTTACCGCTAATCATGCCATCTACATAGTCAGCATCACTATGGCTGTCTTGAACATCATACTGTACTGCACTATTTGTGCTCTGATCTCGATCAAGATATATGTCGGTTTTCGGCAAGGAGTTCTTTCAGGACAGCACGGAAGTGGCCAGCTCTTAACCCTCATTCAGAAGGATGGTGAGCTATTCATATTCTGTACTATAAAGTCTGCTCTCCAACATTTATTGCAGGCATCCTACATTCAATGTGAGTCGTTTGGTATCGGACGGATTAATTGGCCTCCGCGAATTGTTTCGATGTAGGACAATATTATTCATCAACATCACAAGACTGGCAGTCCTGAACAGTCAGGTATGCCTTGCGTCTTCGTATTCTTTGATTACGTACTTAATAGTTGCACAGACAGTCGTAGGATCGATGACATATATAGTGGAAGCGTAAGCATTATGCAGTATTCGAAATCAGCTCAATGGACGCTTGCTTTACTAGATTTGTCATCGTCCTGATATCAAGATTCATTCTCAACGTTCGTGCTGTCTACGCCCAGGGCCAGAGCCAGACGACGCTGGGCGGTCGAACGACTCTCCAGTTCGCCAATAGACAGGATGACATGTCCGATAGCGCTGAAGAGTACAATAGCCAATCCAGGATCTCCGCGATCCGCGCTGAGTTCGAGCTGTCTCAATCTGAGCGTGAGACTTCTGTGTCTAGAGGTGAGCCTTTTTGACATCAACCTTGGATATTCCATTCACAGAAGACACAGTTCATATCAGAAATGCCATTGAGAATATAGAAGACTCGCTGGCAGAGGATGAGGACCCTGGCATCTTCGTGTAGAGACCAGATTCATATCACTACCTTTAGGGCTTATTGTCCGCATATTTTGGTGTTTCAAATGTTCGCGCCCGGATCTAAGTCGCCTCAGACGACCCAAAATTCATCCGCATGAGCATCTGTGCCCCGAAAAACCTCTGAAACACGCTCAAAGCCCCCTGCGTTCATCTAAACATACATGACATTGAATACAATAATATCTTCATAGCTCTCCCTCGTTTGTTTCCATCCCATTCAACGCTGTCTCGTTATTGTTCCTGCTGCCGCTCAGATTCTCTTTCCCATTCGACTTGGGTAAGTCGTCCTGCTTCAATTACTTGCTGAGAGGAAAGATATAGCTTGTGGTTCAGAGATGAAGATGCTGTGCTCAAAGCAGAGAGGCAGTACACATGCATGTGTATCCGCTACGGCAGCCACGAACCACCCATGACTGATGAGATCACAGAACGGCCAATGAGAGACTCACTGGTTGCAATCTTGAGCGCAAAGCAGAAGATATGATGGTGGCATATATGATATTGGTATATTTCGCTCCCCATTCAGCAGATGTCTCACGGTGTTGACATCCACCAGGAGGGCCTCAGTACTTCAGTGCACATACTAGCTATCGTGAGGCGCCGGTACGGGAAATGACATACCATGTTGATGGCTGCACAACGAAGTTGATCTTATGGCGGCATATCAAAGTCGTAGAAAGAAGCTAATCTGTTTATCCATTGTTGCTGTATGCGATAGCTTTTTCGCTCATAGTGACCACCTTTCACTTCACACTGCCCTCATCGCTCCAGTAAAGTGATATATGCTCAACTTCTGCGACGCATCGTTGTCACTCCTTTTACTCCAAGACCTCGGCATGTCTCAATCTACTTACTCCGCGAGCGATTTGGACGAATTTGAATTCACGTAAGTACACCTGTACCTGCGATTGCATTGAACTGGGAATCGCGAACACTAACCACTAGTGGTAGGAGCCTGAGCATGTACTTTACTGCCGTCGGGATATGTGAGTGGGTCGGATCATTGTATCTTATGCGCGATACGACGTCTGATGACCTTCTCCAGCAACCATTTTTTATGATTAAATTCTTACTATATCGCAAGAGATTACTCATGTATGGGGATGTCCGCTCTCAGGCATAACCGCCGTATACCTGATTAACCGGTACTTTTCCATCGTGTATGCCCTGCTCCTGATCAGTGAGCTCTGCGTGGGATATATCCAGTCATCCTTCGAGGCGAACAAAGTGCGCAGCATTTCTATAAAGGCTTCGCGTATATTTACTACCAGTATCCACAGTTGTATGTGTTCGCTTAGTCGGGTGTTTCGCATATGCAACATTCATCCCATCTCGCTGACAGCTGTGTTGGTCTTGGGATTGCTTTCGAAATCCTCTTCACTGTCCTTCGATTAAATCTGGCCGGTGCGATAATGGTCATCAATGATTATTCCTTGCGATCACCTGTCTCAAACTGCTGTTAGTGTTTTTATCTTTGCAAGTTTATGCGATTTGGAACAAAGATCTTCGAATACTCGCGTTCAATCTAGTCATAGGGATAGTACCTACGATCCTCCATGCGGTATACTTGTTCTATTATTGTCAGCACATGTGTCTGATTCTGATGATCGATGTCTAGTACTCACTTGCTATGGGAAAAGTCACCTTCATCTCTGTCCCGTCTAGGAGTTGCGTCCCGTCAGCACAGCGTAATGTGGTCATATATGATGCGTAAGGCTGAGACCTTATTTCACGTTTTCACGCTTTCTTATACAGCCATTTCCAGTGGTTAGTTTATGATTACATGTTCATTCGGATCCCTGCTGCTGGCCACGCCATCCACAAAGTTCGCATCACTATAGGGGTCATGATTATTCTACTCTACTCCACGATATTGACCCTCATCCTGATCAGAGCATATACAAGTACTCGGCATGTAGCTCCAGTACAATACAGAGGTATGCAGGTATTCACCCTCATTCGGAAGGATGGTATGTTATTCATCATGTCGTGCCGTGAAGTCTACTGTAAAAGCTGCATTACAGGTACTATACAGTCTACGTACGTCATCCTCTTTCTGGTAGATCAATTGATATTCATGAATAACTTGATTGTAGAGCAATTGTATTTGCTAACATCATTGATTTGATCAACTTGAGTCGCCGGGTACGCCCTACGTTTTTGCATCGTTTGACTACGTGCTCAGCAAGACTCAGATGGTAGCAGATACGACAATGATCCTAATGGAAGCGTAAGTATCATTTACTACTCTGGATTAGCTCTCGTAAGATGATTGCTATACTAGAATTCTCAGCACTTTAGTATCAAGATTCATCCTCAGTATTCGTACAATTTATCCCCAGAACGACTCGGAGGACAAAATGACCTTCAACGGCGACAGGACTCTTCAGTTCGCCAATATCAGCACGAGGCACGATGATGCGAACGACAACGCCGAGGAGGACAATGACAAAATCAGGTTCTCCACGATTCGCATTGGGGCCGAACCGTCTGAGCGCGAAGCTTCCGTGTATATAGGTGAGTTTATTGACGTCGATTTCAGGCACTCTGCTCACAAGATACAGTCTAAGAGTGTCGTTCTGAATATTCGAAGTAGAAGATCCTGGAGAATAGTCCTGTTGAGCATGGTCGTCGCATATTCGTCAGGCGCGTTTATATGTGTTATTCATGCGGGACATCCACATGGTTTTGTATGAGCTCTCCTAGACGCATGATCCAAGCGAGGAGACATACCTGCTGCACATTGAAGAACGCTGCTACCACTTGGCACGGCCCATATCCTATAGATGAAACCTTGACCTATCGAGTCTGCGACAGTTATAGCCTGCGGACGGTGTACGGGCTCCAATCCCTCTGAGACCTGCTGATTGGCTACATTTATGTTCCGTCTAGAAATTGAATATCAAGTAGTGAATAGTAACATCACATGTGGGTTATAGGATGGGTTCAACTGTGCACTTATTGCGTTGCGAAAAGTTACTCTTACTTTGTACGGCTTTTGGCATTTGTAGCAGAGATGAATCGTCGTCGATGTAGAGGGCTTTATCGAGCTTAGTGGCGAGCTAGCCGGCCTCGTCACTGCTAGCAAACAGCCCGGTTACCTAACCCAGAATGGCAATCCGCGGTAAATTGGAGCTCTACATGGAAGAGCGCGTCGGGGTTGTCCCACGCTTTGCTGCCTCTTACTCTGATGCTAGCACCATCATCTCTGCTCTGGTGGGTGAAGCTTTAAGATCTCAGCCCTCTGGCTGATCAAGCTAGTTTGTCTGATCACAAAAAGACACGCTCCGGTATAAACCCCAGAAGGGGCGCAGCAATTAAGGGGAGTACGAATCGACCTTGCATCCGGAGGGTCTTAAGGAGCTGTTGAGCCATCAGTAATACGGAATCTGACAGGCCGTCTACTTGCCATATCGCGCTGATAAGGAGGAGGAAGAGGTATGAGACTCGACGCGCCAGTTCTGTTGGTAAGACCCAAGCCGGAGACTATGAGTTACTAACAAAAAGGCTAGTCTCGACTCATAACAATGTGCCGCGGAAGCAACCTAGACAGCGTTTAGACATTCCGGTAGCGTGAGTCCTAGCTCGTCAATTCAATCCAATGTCTGGTCATCTAGCGTCCCAGAAACTTGTATCAACGTCTTCGTGCCCTTGCTCTGTCATCACGTCGTCAAGCTGTATCGCATTGCGGCACGGAGATGGATTATATACCCGAACGGAGTCGAAAGAAGTAGTGGGCATGGGCTAATGCAAATGAGCAGCAGGAGAAGCACAGATACAGGAGAGAGCACAACGGCCGACTCATCAAAGGCGACTCGCTGCGCCAATCGACCATTGACCGTCGGCGATAGAACGAAATGCATTTTTACTTAGCTCAAAGGGGCTTTGTTCCATCCGTACCGCAACGGCCTTTTATTTGATCCTCTGCGCGCCGCAAGACGTCGATGCTGCATTCGCCCAGGGCTACGATACATGACCTTGCTGCTCTCAGTGTACTGGCGCAGTGTCTCGAGCACGACGAGCACACACGGTCGGTGCCGATGCTTGGAGTGTCTCGTGCATACATACCTTTATTGGGGACTTCGTTGATAACAAGGTCTTGATAGTACATCCATCTACACTGTCTGCGGCTCCTTGAAAGAGCCCCCGAGCTGACGCCTTGCGGATCGACGGCGGCATGGCTTGCGCGTACAACGACGTTCGTGCGGCACGGCTTCAGAAGTCTCAAATACGGCCTAGGCTGTAAGTAGTTACGGTCTTCTGTAGAAATAGCAGCTGCTTTCCCGCGCCAGTTCCGCTATGGCCATAGCGAAGAGCATCAAGAGCGGCTACCCGGGATCGTCCTAGTCATCAAACTCAAGTCCGACTCGATGAAGGCGCCAGCTTACCTGCCAGCCCAGCAGTGATTTTGTCGAAATACCTACCGGCGCACTCGCCTGCTTGTCCTCCTCTCCCTGATGGTGTAATGCCCAAATTTTTTGAAGATAGTCTGGCTACGAGACTACCTCTCTAGGTCTCCCGGTTGGTGTGCAAAACATCGCGTGTGCTTTACACTCATACTGAAAGTGCTGGCGAGGCCATCTGCGGACCACGCCAGAGACTGGTAGCTGCTAGCCTTTCGAAATCAGCTCAATGGACGCTTGCTTTACTAGATTTGCCATCGTCCTGATATCGAGATTCATTCTCAACGTTCGTGCTGTCTACGCCCAGGGCCAGAGCCAGATGACGCTGGGCGGTCGAACGACTCTCCAGTTCGCCAATAGACAGGATGACATGTCCGATAGCACTAAATAGTACAATAGCCAATCCAGGATCTTCATGATCCGCGCTGGGATCGAGCTGTCTCAATCTGGGCGTGAGACTTCCGTGTCTAGAGGTGAGCCTTTTTGACATCAACCTTGCACGCTCCGTTCACAGAACACAAAGCTCAAGTCATAAGTGCTATTCAGAGTATACAAGACTCGCTGGAAGAGGAGGGGGGACCCGGCATATTCGCGTAGAGGCCAGATCCATATCACCACCTTTTGGGCTTAATGTCTGCGTGATTTTGGTACTTCAAAGGTTTGCGTCTGGGTCTGGATGGTCTCAGACAACCCAAAACTCGTCCCCATGAGCATCTATGCTCTGAAAAACCTCTAAAAGCCCCCTGCGCTCATCTTAACATACACGACATTGTATTAAAAAATATTCACACAACTTGTCCTCGTTATTGTTCCTGCTGCCGCTCATATTCTCTTTCCCATTCGACTTGGATAAGATCTTTTGCTTCAATGGCTTGCTGAGAGGTAAGGTATAGCTTATAGTCAAATATGGAGATGCTGCGATCGAGGCAGAGAGGCAGCACACATACACGTGCATCGACTCCGACAGCGACGATAGGTTTGGACGGCCCATGACTGATGAGATCATAGAACAGCCGATGAGAGGCTCATTGATTGCAATCTTGAGCACAAAGCAGAGCATACGGCGGCGTTGGCGTATTGGTATATTTTGCTCTCCATCTAGCAGGTGTTGCATGTACTACCTCTCCGGGTCTCCTGGTGGGTGCGCAAGCCATCGCGCATACGGTAAATTCATGCTGAAAATTTTCACTTAAAGTCCTAAAGCTAAATTAATGAGATTCTTCAGGGCGCTAACTATCAGACTCGATGGAGAAGAGTTCCTCTGATGGCTGCGTGGGCCATACCGAGTAACATCAATTTATCGCAGGCGATGTATCCCCTTAGGCTAAGCACAGGAAAGCTTCCGCAGTGTTAGTTTCTGGATCCCTCATTAACCAATATCAATAATACGTGACTAACAGCACGCATGACGAACATACGACTACCGGTATTCGATTCCTATCCGCCAGGGAGGATCCTATGCGGAGTGAATCTCATCAGGCATGTCCTTTGATTTACACTCTGTCTTCTGTGAGTGGAGCGTGCATAGTCAATGTCGAAGACGCTCACCTCTAGATATGGATACCTCGCGCTCAGATTGATGCAGACGCGATTCAGCTCCACTGTGGCCCATGGAAATCCTGAACTGTTCGTTGTTGTCCTCAGCACTGCCAGATACACCATCATGCCTCATGCTGGCATTGGCGAACTGGAGGGTCATTTGATTGTCGAGGCTCGTCTCGTCCTCGCTTTGGGCATAGACTTCACGAATGCTGAGAATGAATCTCGATATCAGGATGCTCGTCAACCTAGTAAAGTCAGCGTCCATCGAGATGATTCCGAATATTTAATGGTGCTCACGCGTCCGCGATAAACGTCGTCGAACCTATCGCTGTCTGTGCTGGGTTGAGTAAGAGACCAAATGCTACGGAAACATAAGGCGTACCTGGCTATTCAAGCTAATAATATCAGCAATATTGATGAATAAGATCGCTCTACGGTAGAATTATCCATGATTGCCAGTTAGCCGGTCAGAGACTAATGACACACATGAATTGCAAGGTTCCTGTAATGTATCTTTAAGTGTAGATTATGGTACAGCACGATGAATAGCGCACCATCCTTCTGGATGAGAATGAATAACTGGGCACCTCTGTGTTGTGTTGAAAGGCCTGCCTGCGAAGTACTGATATATGTCTTGATCAGTATCAGGACGAAGACCATGCAGTAGTGTAGAATGGTCAAGACGTCGCCAGCGATTTTCACTATGTGGGTGGAATTATTGTCTTCAGTGATCTGAATGTCCACGAGATGATCTACTGACGCCTGGGAGAGGTGATTTAAGTAATCTCGCAATCATGTGAAAGCAAGTTTTCAGCCTTACGCATCATATACGGCCATGTTCAGACGTGTGTGTTTGACACAATACCTATCGGGGGTAGGCACAAATGATACTTGCTCAGCAGCAATCACGCACTGGGCATAAATCATCAGAATCGGACATATATATAGGTTGATGATACTGGAAGAAGCATACCGTATTGAGGATAACAGGGACTATCCCCATGAACAGGCCGACTATGAATATCCGAATGTCTTTACTCCAAACCGCATATAATCGCAAAGACACAAACACTGGTAGCGGTTGAAGAAAAGTATGCTAGTCACATGAGAGGTCATTATCATACCCATTAAATTCAAATAAATGATGGTGAAGAGGATCTGGTTGGTTATTATGATACTCGCGCAGCTATCAGTAAGATAATATAAACGTTGCATACTGCGCTCGGCTGAACGAACGCGTACGCACAGCGGCTGTATATTGTGATGGTCAAGATGTGCAAGTCAGACTAGCTCATAGAAATGGCTGCGCACTTTGTTTGCACTGGAGAGCGACTGGGGATACCCCGCGCCGAGCTCACAGATCAGGAGCAGTATAAGCACGACGGATGTATACCGGCTAATCAGGTATAGGATGGCTGCGCCAGAGAGCGATCGCCGCCATACATAAGTGATCTCTCGTGATAGGGTCAGGGAATAGTCATAGAGAATGATTGCTCGACAAGCGTCAATATTCACATCTCGCATAAGTTGCAAAATTCGACTCACTTATTGCGATGGTGAGACAATACTCGCTACTCCTGGTGGTCAGCATTCGCTACTCGCAGTAGAGTCAGCAGCGAACTTGCGCGATTCTATCCTCATCTAGGTTGGATGTAAAATAGGTAGACTGAGGCATGCTGATGTCCTAGAGCGAGAGTAAAGGTTGTCACGATGGGTACCAGGGTAACACGAGCTGGATAAATACCATATTATCAAGCGCCGAGAGCACTGCAAGTTGAAAAATGATGGCTATGCAACCCTATGTCACACTCAATGAACATGTCAGCAGGCTTGTCGTGGCCGCATGGGGAATTACCCGAGTTTCGCAGATGTCATTATCTGAGCGCTGATAGCAATGTCGACCACAAGGTTTTTGCTCTGCCATTGCAACTCGACGCGTGTTGGTATACGGAGATATTCCCGCCACATGGAATTGATTCTTGTCGAATCTAGGTTGAAGCCAGTTTCACGTGGCGTGCAGCACTGAGATGATGTCAACCTTTTTGACCGAAAGGAAGTCGACCTCCCTTGAATGCATAACCTAAGAGGTCAATACGATGCCCCTACATCAGTGGACGAGGCTACGACTAGTGCTACTGGGTACGGTTTGAGTGGCATCAAGCGAGATCTTCATGTTGGATTTGATTCCAGCGGAAACGACCCGGTAGTCAAAACTTTCATGCAATATACTGGGATTGTAAAAGGCTGCGAAGTTGCGTTCCCGGTAATCAGTCTTGACGCGAAATATCAGCAGCCTTTTGAGGGAATGGTGGTTTCAATGCAAATGTAAAAGCACGCACATGGCGGCAGGGAGTGACATGCTCGCTTGCCGATCTCGCGCCATAAATAGATCCCTCCAGCCATCAATCCGTCTTATGCCGACCAGCTAGATCACCTTCAAGCCACCGTTGGTCAGCGGAACGATTCGCCATATAAAAAGTCAGGTTGCGAGAAACTGGACGAGGTTGAGAACGAGGTCGTCAATAAGGGCTCACGAGGCGTATCAATAGATATATGAATATATATGAAGTCTATATAATCTGGTTTCATACTCGCCTCCGGGCGGCACGATCTCCATCGTTTGACCACGGAGACCACGCAGGGAGCCGGTCAAAGGGCGAGGGTGAAGAAAAGGGGATGGGAGAGGCAGAGGGGAGGAGGGAGGGCGAACCGTAGGTGCTCGTCGAGCGAGATACGCGTAGACGACAGAGGCCATCTTGCGTTAGTCATTGCCCGATCGTCGTCGTTATTCGAAGACGGAGACGAAGAGAGGCGGGTTTTTGAACAAGAGAGAGGGCGAAGTGATGAGGGGAATGAGACAGAAGAGCGAGGCAAGGGCGAGACAATTGAAGCCATCTCGTCTTCAGGCTCTTGAGCGATCTCCGTCGTTTGAAAGCGGAGACGAGGATAGACATAGCCAGAAAGAAAGTGCAACGAGAGCGAAATGAGGAAGCAGCGATTGACAGAGAGGGAGGATATCCAAGACGAGCTTAGTCGTCTTGCTGTTCTCGTTTGACTACCTTCATCGTTCATCCTATGACACAGAGCTTGAAGAAGCGCCTTGTGCCAATCATCGTATCCATTCGGAAGGTAAGATATATCAACAGAAGCCATTACAAAGTTGCCACTCCTCGAAGGCAGCAAAGACATCTGGCAAATGACTACAGCTCATTAAAGTTCCAAGAATATCAGAAGAGAAATTCGCCGAGAGGAAGAAGTTGGAATGAAGAGCGCTGCCAGCAACCACGTACTCGGGGAGGGCGCAGGCACAAATCTGAGACGAAGGGCTTGGCACTCACAGTGGTCAAAGAGTAGTCCAAGTCAGTCGAATCCACGAGCTAATATGCTAGTGGTAGAGAATTTGACAAGGTGTGAAAGAGGTCGCATATCGAAAACGCCACTTACTACAGAGTCCAACTTTCAAAATTTTATCTTGTGTGTTGTAATGTCATGGGTCACTGGGGCCATTTGAGAGCGTATGCGCGAGCCTGACCAAGAGAGAAGGTTCATCGAAGATGACTATATACACGAGTTTAGTGGCTCAGGCTGTGACACAGGCTTGTGGCCTCAGGATTCGAAGTATGAGTGGGCTCGTCGCGCGGGTGGGCGTGTGAATGGCAGAATCGCATGTAGTTTTATCGCTGAATTCAGAGATTGATTGCTAACATCGACATTTTCTCATAATGACGTGCTTGCAAGTTTTTCACGAACCCACCGTCTTGCTCGGAGAGCAAGGAATTAGTAGCGCCCCGTTGGGGATGCCAGCACAAGGACAACACGCCCACTCTTCTCCGTCTACTCAGATATGATGCTGACAAACGGGAGCAGGCTTGGGTCCTCATTGGTCACAAACAGGATTTTGCTCGAGTGCAGCGTCCGCTCAATGTTGTATGCAGTGTCACCGTGATGTCCTAGCAGTTAAAGTACAGCGGAGACACTTGGATGTCAACAAAGTGTGTGCTATACGCAGAACCATCGTCAGTACGGATAATCCATGGTACAGTTATAAATGTGAGCACATACGGGAAACCAGCATGTCCCATAGGCAGGGCCGCTGTGGTCCAACTTTCTGGTGAAGGTCATAAGTACAGTGAGCAAACAAAAGCAGCCTTACATGAGAGGGGGGTCGGGGTTTCCCACACTTTGCTGCCTTCTACTTACTGCCAGCATCGCCGCCCCTGCTCTGATGGGTGAACGCTGACGTTGAACCTTCAAGATCTCAGCCCCGTGCGCCCGTCTGACCTTGCGGAAACATGCTCCGAGTTAAGGAAATGGTGACATGCGGAGGAGGATGGGGAGATAAATTCGGTGTAAATCTCAGAAGGGGAGCAGCGACCAAGAGAAGTGCGAATTGAATTTGCATCTGGAGGTGCTCAAGGAGCTGCTGAGCCGTCAATGATACAGAATTCAACAGGCCGTCCACTCGCCATATCCCGTTAATGAGGGTCTGAGACTCGCCGTGCAGGTCTTTCGGTAGGACTCAAGCTGGAGACTATGAGTCGCTACCAAAATGTCAGTGTCGACTCAACAATGTACTGCAGAAGCAACCCAAACGATGTCCAGCTAACCCGGCGGCATGAGTCCTCTCGTCAACTCTGGCTCGCTTACTGGGGCTCATCTCGGCGCGCAATTCAACATTTGGCCGCCTAGCGTTCCAGAGACTTGCATCGACGTCTGTGCGGACGAATAATTTTTGGGCCCTCGCTCTCTATCACTCTGTCATCGCGTCGTCCTGCTGTATCGCACCTTGGTACGCAGATGGATTATATATCCGAACGGAGTCAAGAGGTGTACCATGATGCGATACAGCTGGCCGAGGGGTTCATGCAAATGAGAAGCAGGAGAAGCTCAGACACAGGAGAGAGCATAATGTCCGACTCATCAAAGGCAACCCGCTGCACCAATTGACCATCGACCGGAGCGACGGCTCCCGTAGCTCCATCTCTGCCTCCTCTCGATCAGTCTTCGCTACGCAGCTTGTCAGCATAGAGCTTCGCTCCATCGGGGCCTGGGTATGTCAATCTAAGCAGTTACGTGCATAACGGCTCCAAGTGGATGTCGGTATGAGCCACTCAGTGTTGTCCCCATCGCCTTCAGAGTCTACCGGATACATTAGCTCGCCCTTTGGGATACCATGCATAATATCCCAGTCCTCCAGCTCAACCGTTGTTCTTCCTGGCGCGGCACACAGACTATATTCCAGGGGTGGGCACAAAGTCTGGATGCTGCTCGAGGATCCACGCGCGCGTGGCTTGCAATGGCGCTGCTCCGTACTGATCATCATCGTGTGCATCTCGTCCTAAAGACAAATCCGTAGCAAGGCTCACGTCGAGCTCCCGGGCGGCCGCGACGAAAAAAAAGATGTTTGATTTCGATCTCAAATGGGCTGTATTCCATCCGGACCGCAATGACTTTTTCCCCAATCTTTTTCGCGCCGCAAGATGTCAGTACTGACGCCTTGCGGATCGACGGCGGCATGGCTTGCGCGTACAACGACGTTCGTGCGGCACGGCTTCAGAAGTCTCAGACTCCGCGGCCTGGATTGTAGGTAGCCTTCGGTATAATTAGCAACCGCTTTGTTGCGGCAGTTCCGGTATGCCAAAGCAAAGAGCGTCAAGAGTAGCCGCGCGGGATCGCCGGGATCGTCCTAGTCATCGAACTCAAGTCCCAACCTTGATGAAGGCGCCAGTTTGGCAGTCAGCCCAGACGTGATTCTGTCGTACTTATGCCTGCCTGCACATTCTCCTGCTTGCCCTCCCCCTTATGGTTAGACATTCATCAATTGTAGGCGATATGTCTTCTTGGGCTACGCACAGGAGAGCATCTGCAATGTGAGTCTCCTTCATTAAATACTATAAATAATACGTAACTAACAGCGCACATGATGAACATGCGACTACCGGTATTCGATGTCTCTCCGCCGGGGAGGATCCTATGCGGAATGAATCTCATCAGGCGTGTCCTCTGTTTTACACTCTGTCTTCCGTGAGCGGAGTGCGCAAAGTCAGTGTCGAAGGCGCTCACCTCCAGAAATGGATACCTCGCGCTCAGATTGATGCAG